ATTGTAGTGGATAAAATTGTCAATTTTTCCGTGCAGTACTGTACGGATTATACGCTCCTCACCGGTTAAGAGTTTGGCCGAGAGTAGTCTCCTTTCTTTTCTGGGCTAGTGCTGTTCTTTTCTACTTTGCGCCGGTCAAACTGAAGGTCACATCGCTACAAGTATACTACAACACATTTTCTTTTAGTTTATTTCAGCGAATAAGTCTATTTTTCACCAGTAATTTAAGAGCAGTAGGATATATACATATTACTAAATCAACTATGTAAGTATGTAATTATTCTACAAGCAAGAGCCACATACCTATTCCGGAGCGCACAATAAAATAAATTATTAATGAAGCTGTTATTCAAAACATTTAGGGTAGTTTGTTGTTTAAATTTTTAAATATCGCGTCGTTTTTAGCTTATAAAATTTGGACATAATTTTGCAAATGATCGGTTAGAATTTAATACCCCGCCCTTATTGATGCATTTATAAATATTACTCATAATTTAGAGTTTTAATAAATTCTCGCTGAAACTTTAAAATTACAATTTTATTCATTTACTGTGTTCTTATTAATAAAATAGTTGATGTACTACAATACATACAGCAACTGTAGAAGGTGATTCAAAAACTGAAAAAATGTGTTGGTAGGTACACAAAGAACTTCATAGACATTTTATATATGGTTTTTGCTGCTGTCCCCCCCTCCGCTTATGCCACCATATCCCTGTAAAATTAAATTGTTCACTAAAGTAATTGAAATGGTAGATTTCAGGAGGAAATCACTAGACAATTGTACAGGGAACAGACAATAAGTGCACTCAAAATATAATGTTATAACAATAAACTCTAGTTCGAAAAACAATAGAAATGCACCGGATAATTACCATATAACCGGGTACCTGGTAAAACCACTATTGTTAATGGTTCACGTCTTCGTTGCTCTGGCGAGCTTTTTATTAAATATCACTCATATTAACGTCCCAAGCCAATCATTAAGTTCCGCTCAAAAAGTCGTTTAAACATTAAACCAATGAAACTGTAATTCTTGGTTAGCGGATTTTCAACTAGACGATCGAGTTGAAATCGTTTAACACACTGAGTCTCTACAAGGTTTTAAAATCGTATTAATAAATTATCGTTAATCGATACCTCATATACCAACAATCGACAGAAATTATAATAGTTCAGTCATATTGATGTATTCTTGTTCACGAAAAAATGTTAACAAAAGAACTATATTGACATTAGGGATGTTGCGGATGGTGATTTTGTCGGGTACCGTATAACGAGGTACCGGTAAAACCAGTACAGTTAGGTTCATGTCTTCGTTCTGGTAAACTTTTCAATAAATACTCCCCTCATACCATTTTTTATTTTGTATTTGTATTTGAATTATTTAGAATTGTAACTATTTCAAATAAATCACGTATCTGGTTATACATTTGTAGTTTTCTCGAAAACACAACAAGCTGGTGACAGGGGTGCTCGCCCAACACACCGAAGGACTTCTGGCTCATTTCCTCGATCGATACAATTACTTCTTATTCCTTGTAATTTTCTTATTTTGCTTATTGTATTTTTCGAAATGTTTGTTTTATTTTTTATTATAAACGTCTTTGTAGGTTATGATAAGAAACTCGAGCAAAATATATGCAGGGCTGGAATCCAAATCGGATTGGGATTCCTAGTTCCCCTATTAGAGCTCAAAAAGAAAATTTGATCAGGACCCAATCAAGTAAATAATGCTTCAAATACTCAAATTCGAATTGGTCCAACTTACAGGGTTCTAATGGGTATATCCTGTGTGGTCTTAACCTTTAAGTGGCAAAATTGGGTGCTTTGAAGAAACTTGCCTAGAAAAGCTTATAAGAAGCAAGTCAGAGTGTCTTATACACATACTCCTTCTTAGTGTAACCTACGTAGAGAGAGTTGTAGGTTTTCGACCAGATTAGAGCCTAAATGATCCGGATGTCTATTAGGAGTACCCCTATTTCATTTATACTCGTAAAAAATACAAATTGGGATAAACGACCTATCCCAATACAATCTTAATTACCCATTTTCATTAGGTAGTTTTTTTGTTATACTTATTAAATTATTATTGTTGGTGTTATGTTATGGTGTTGGTTTTTTCTTTTGTCACTGATAAAATTAACCGCTCATGCCGGGTACTCGGCGACATTATCTGGTGTCTGGCCAGATCCTAAAAAAGTTTCCGATCCACTGATATCGGATCCAAATTGGGAACCGACCCATCTCAATTCTAACGGATATAAGGGATAACTTAATAAAGTAATCATTCAATTATATAAATTATGGCAAACAACCTATCCCAATACAATCTTAATTATCATATTTTGTTGGGTAAGTTTTCTTGTTATACATCATCATCATAAGGTCGTCAGTCCAACAACTTGGATACGCAGATACGGACCTCCACTCATTCTTATCCTGAGCTAATCTTCGCATTTCCTTAAAACTAGAACATCCTACATCCTTAACTATTTGCGAACAGTAATCTAATCTAACTCTACCTTTACTCCTGTTAGCTCCTGTTTCTACCTTTAATATATCTCTGACTAGCCGTTCATATCTGAGAAGGCGTCCTACCAATTTATCTCGCCTATTTCTTATTGACTTCCATAGAGTCCTCTGTTCTCTTACTCTTTCTAATACCTTTTCATGTCTAACCTTCTCTATCTACGGTATCCTCATCATTCGACTGTAACACTACATTTCGAACGCTCCTAACCTTTTCTTTTCCGCCGCGCACACCGTCCTTGTTTCGCATCCGTACAGCGCCACGCTCCAAACATACACCCTTAACTATCTTTTTCGAATGTCTAAATTAACCGTCAGCGAGCATAGAAGTGACTTCACTTTACTGAAGGCTCTTTTGTTATATATATTAAATTATTATTACTGGAGTTTGTTTTTTCGATTTTCTTTCTACCATGCCGGATGCGCCGGGTACTGGACCCAAATCGGGTACTCAGGTCATCTCTAAAACATGGGTGATGAATGATTTTCCTACAACATTTTTCCATTTGGAATATTTCTCCTTGACAATGAAATGTGAGGCGTGGGCCTTACGTTGTGAAACACGAGTTTAAACGTTACTTCCCCTAGGTGAGATATTTTATAAAATGAAGACCAGCAGTACATATTCAATTTTGATTTTGTGAATTGTTATCAAACGACGCAACATGCGCAAAAAGTTTTCTCGTTAACACTTTTATATTAAACTGCTAATTCCTTTATTGGTTCGATAGAAATAGCTTATTCGAACAACAGCAAAAGCTTGAGCGGTAATTGCTGGTTCGCGATTCAAGCTTAAATAAGTAATCTGTTAAATTGCAACGGAAGCAGTTAATTGTTACGTGGAATTCGTAAAGGGAAACATCGACGTCGGAACTATAGCCCCGCGAAGCGCACCGTAGGATACATTGTGATACACACACATATACATACACATCTTTGATGAGTGGATTGTTATTTGTTTAGTATCCGTATTGCTCACGGTAATTACGTCAAAATAAATACCTTCAACCAAGCTGGCGTTACTGACATTATTTAAAGTACAACTGTACAGCTATTATTTGGTACAACTCAAATAATAAATATAACTAGTGTCTTATTTATCTAGATATACAAGGTGTCCCTGAAACATGTAGCAAGCTTGCAGGCAAGAGCCAGCCCGGCCCTGGTAGAGTCACGCAGGAAAATACATTGCAACGCTGCATTCAATGAATTACTAACTTGCAGCATCTATGTTTATTATTTATTAGATTAGATTAAACGATGTTTATGTTACAGCAAGCCTAAAGTAATTCTTTGTTCTTTTAACGTTGTAGGCTTGTATGTGTGCATGCAGTTAGTGGAAGTTATTGGTAGAGTGTCAGTGTCACGGACTTAGTGCAGAATAGTATTGTAATGTTCGTGGGTTTAACAAAACTAACTTGTAATACTGATAACGACAAAACTATTTATTTACACTAATTATTGAAGAACTTAAAAACACTATTAAATTATTATTAAACTTAGGTTATGAATTATTCTATTTATTTACACTACTGTTGATATATCACTATTCACTACGCTATTTATTTCACTTCTGTCACTGACAATTTATTTCTGGATTCACTTCTGCAACGGTCAATTTATTTCTTCTTTACTCGGTGATCGTCTGTTCTTTTAAATACTCTTTTGTTTACTTTCGGAAGCCTTCTCGAAACATCCGGATAGTTTCTTTTTTTCTTTGAAATGTTTAACTGCTTTCCCAAAACGCAGGTACAACACACACATTTACAAATATGGCGCACATGAGGAAAGGCGCCCGCGGCTAGTCGGCGAATCGATAAGACGTTTATACACACGTGTGCCCGAACGCACACAAACACATTTGTGAGTTTGTAAATGAACAATTTCTTAGACCGTGGATTGGACGTATGGATAACACACATTTCACATTTGACTGGAAAAGCTAATGAGGCAAATCGGGGTGCCCAATAATCTATAATCTTTGCTACAGTGACCTTTGTAGAGGGAGTTGTAGGGTCCCGATCAGATTAGAGCTTAATTAGGAGTACCCCTATTTCATTTATACTCGAGAAGGTAATATTACGTTAAGTAATTAAAAAATAAAATTATAATGTTTAGATACGACAGAAGTACACTTCCTACATATTTTCTGAGAGCACAGATCATAATGGGTCAAAAATCAACATTTGGCAGCATCAGGAAATTTATAATTTTTTTATTAACAAATTATTTGCTGCTCATTTATTTATTCGATGGAGAGGGAATTTTAGCAGGATTAATATCTATAAAAAAAGCTGTCTTTGCTAAATTTTTAATGCAGTAGTAGCCGGATTCCTATCTTAAATAGTTAAGGATGTGGGATGTTCTTGTATTAGGGAAATGCGAACATTAGCCGTTGGAATAGGAAAGGGTCTAACTAGTTTTAGGACTGACGGTCCTATAAATACAAACTTGTATTAAATCACAAGCGGGATAACAATGATTTATTACATTTAATTGAATATGTTTTCAGGGCGGCTTTATAATTATTTCTCTAACTCATTTTTGTTAGTGGAATATTTTTTAAGCCATCTATCGATAAACTCCTTCTTCCGAACCTCCCTTCTTGCAAAATATACAGGATATTGCTCTTTTTCTATAGGATGCCAATAATCAAGAACCCAGTCGGGCGGTTGCACTTCTCTTTCGTAAGCGACACCTCCAGGTGAAAATTGAAAATATCTTGGTATCGGATGAGAATTGTAGAACAATTCTTCTTCACCTTTATGTAATAAATCTGCACCTTCGGTGATATCAACATCTCGGTTTTTTTCGAAACACTGTCTGATTTGCGACATTCTATAACAAAATGCGGCTCTTTCAGACACGGAGCATTCTAAATCGCGTAGCACTCTCTTATACAAGCTACATACTTTTTTTGCATGGGTGGGATACTTGACGAATTCGTATAAAGACTTAGCAATGCACTGCAACTCAGGAGTTAAGGCTTTCTGCATTTTAAAGCAAATTGTAATAATTCAGTAAAGATGACAGTTTGTTTATACAGCAAGTTGAATTAAACACTACCTACTTTGATTATATATGCTGCATTATTATGTTATATAGACATTTTTAAGTCGTAAAACTTCTCTTTTAACAATTTTATGCAGAATTTTGGCGCGTTTATGCAAGAATGGTTGTATTATTTTATCTGTACATTAAAGCAGTATATTTTCTATATACAATTTGACACCTCAAGCAGCTTAGGTCATGTTACGTTACGCGTTTCGATCGCGTGGAGGGGGTAGAGGCGGCAGCGGCGGAGAGAGCAACGACTGTATTAGATGGATATAATGTGCTGCCGCGCGAAGATCGGGGAGTCCGCTTGAGTCCCGGCGGCTTGTGCTGTGCACAGCTGGTGTTTTCTTACCTCTGGTCTCCACGTGCCTAGGCATCATTGCCTCTATTTGCGCTCTGTGTCAAAAACGGTTGAATAAGTAAAAACGATAATTTGCAGTACACCCGTGAAAACGAAATTTGTGCTGGGACACATAGTAAAAGTGGAACTTCAACGGACAAGGGGAAAAACGAATGGCACGGACAAGTGGAAAAACGAATGGCAACGGATAAGTGCGGAAAAACGAATCGCAACAAAATTTTTACTTCAAGTTTTTGTTTTTTGTGATTCGTTTTTCCACTTGTCCGTTGATGTTTCACTTCTACTATGTGCCCAGCATACATTTGGTTTTTTTACTTTCCTATTTCAAATAATATTTAAAAAGTATTTATTTTCGCTGACCAATTATCACCAGATAGCTGTCCACCGAATATATAACTTTTATGACCATTTTCTAACCTTACAGGTGGTATGATCAATCAATTCAATCCCTTTGCCATTTATTGAGCAGTACCATTGTTGAGGATGACCGGAAGTCTTTTGTTTAAAACTTACGTCTTGTTACCGTCACTATCTGGTTATTTCCAAGTTAAAGAGATTCGCCCGAAAATAATCCTTAAAGAGAAATTTCAACTGTTTGAAATTATTCTGCTCTGACAGTTTCGCGATATCTCAATTAACATTATATTATGATGATTATATTTTAGTTGACTGATGTTTGTCATTTCCTGATTTACCTACCCACTAATCACAAAGGGTGATACAATTCATTATGCAAGTAGTGGATGAAGGAAGAGGAAAAAGTTCGTAGAATATGTGAAGGAGGGAATGAAGCATTGATGCATGTAAAGGGAGAAAGTAATGAAAACAACGATTTGGATGAATGTACTTAAGAAAAGAAAGGAATAACGGAATACTGAATGGAATTTCCTTGAATTTTTGCATTTATAGCTGTATGGCAGTTTGCTTTTTAAGATTTTAGTGTGCTAAAGTTTTGTAGGAAGAATGTTTAAATATTTTCTTTTATGTAGTAATGTTGCTTTTTCTTGATAAAATAAGTTAAGGTTTTTAATAAAGCTTTTATAATGGACTTATATCTAGGACCATTATGTAAGATGCGAGGTCCGCGAATTTTATTTTTGTATGTATCTGTATGTGATTTCTAATTCCTTGCTTGAGCCTGGTAATGTATGTAAATTAGACCAAATGATTTAGCGTTTATTAACGTCTTTATAGTAGAAGATGATGTGGGCAAAATGCGCCACCGACGTGCAATACGACGACGCTCGTCATCAAATTAAACTCGTAAATTTCAAGTTGGTTTTATTCCTCGTCGCTACCTATGCGAAATACTTCGGGGGTGCGTTGCAGCGCGTCGCAAACAAAGCATCGCTGATGCTTTTATCGTTTTTACCCTCGCTTATCTAACTACGTAGCCAGAACGTAGCGTCGCAGCGCCCGCTAATAAATTGTAGGTAGACGTAAGGTGGATGTATACGAGGGTGGATTGATAAGTTTCCGGCCTAACCAAGAGATGACGCCACTAGGCCTACCTTGAGGTGACATTCTATAGTACCATCCTTGGATAGCTTGTAGCTATAGTTTCAGCCCGATCTCCTTGCTAGTGTAGGTTTGACAGCACGCTGAACAAGACGCCTCTGTGGTTTTCGTAAAAATGGAAAAGCAGGAAAATCGTGCTGTCATCAAATACTTTTATTTGAAGGGGTTAACGCCGAAGGAAATTAAAAAAGAGATGGACTCAACACTGGGGACATCCTCCCCGTCATATTCAACCGTTAAGCAGTGGGTTTCCGAGTTTAAAAAGGGTCGTGTGAGCACCTCTGATGGGCCTCGCTCAGGACGCCCCGTTGAGGTCACAACTCCAGATATGATCGAAAAAATTCATCAAATAGTGCTGGGAGACCGCAGATTGAAAGTGCGTGAGATAGCTGAGACCTGTAAGATGTCATATGAACGTGTGCAACATATTTTGCACCAACATTTGCATATGGAAAAGCTCTGTGCAAGATGGGTGCCGCGTTTGCTAACAGTCGACCAAAAATTGATTCGAAAAAACATTTCTACCGCAAATTTGTCATTGTATAAGCGTAATCCAAGCGAATTTTTGCGTCGATTCGTAACCGTTGACGAAACGTGGGTCCACCACTACACTCCTGAAACCAAAGAACAGTCTAAACAGTGGATTGGACCAGGGGAACCAACTCCAAAGAAGGCAAAAACAATTTTTTCGGCGAACAAGGTTATGGCTACTGTTTTTTGGGATGCAAGAGGTATTATATACATTGATAACCTTGCAAAGGGTAATACTATCACTGTTCAATACTACGCAGACTTATTGCAACGTTTGAGCCACGAGGTGAAAATTAAACGACCTCATCTGGCGAAGAAAAAAATCTTGTTTCATCACGATAACGCACCAGCGCACACGTCAATCGTTGCGACGGCTAAAATCAACGATCTAAAGTTTGAATTGATGCCGCACCCTCCTTACTCTCCAGACCTAGCCCCGAGTGACTATTTTCTGTTCCCTAATCTCAAAAAATGGCTTGGCGGTAAGAGATTTGCGGACAATGAAGAAGTAATCGAAGCTGTAAATGGTTATTTTGAGGAGCTTGACGAATCAGTCTATAGAGATGGCATTAATAGACTGGAACACCGCTATGAGAAATGTATCAGCCTTGGAGGAGATTATGTTGAGAAATAAAAAAAAAAATTTTTAAAAACCTTGTTTTTCTTGGTCAGGCCGGAAACTTATCAATCCACCCTCGTATATTATGGCAAGGCTGGAATTCGTTACTACTGTCGTTTTAGTTAAGTACCTATTATCATCTGGTGTAGTCCTTCTACCTTAACGACACCTGTCGAGATATCATCAACTTGCTATACCAAACTTTAACAATAGTAATAACTTTTAATAATTAACATTTAGTTCGTCATCGCAGAATTGTCAAATTGTTAAAAAAATTGATATTTGGTAATTATACGAACAAATTTCCTATCGAATACGGTACAATTCTTTAAAATTCGCGATGACGGTAAAACATTTTTTCTTTTTTATTATAAATAACTTTTTTAAATATACGGGTGATTCTATGAAAATAGGGCAACTCTGTGATGTCATTAGTCTTTATTATTTTTCATATACTGTGCAATTTTAATAAAAATAAAATAAAACTACTGGTATGCAAGGGAAAGAAAAGTAGGGAAAGAGCGAATATAAACATAGGAGACGAAAAATTAGAAGAAGTGGCCGATTTTAGGTATCTAGGAAGTCAGATAAGTCAGGAAGGAAGGAGTAGTAAGGACATAAAACAGAGGAAAGTGCAGGGTCGAGTCGCTTTCAATAAAAACAAGTCACTTCTATGTTCGCGAACGGTTAATTTAGAAATACGAAAAAGGTTATTAAAGGTGTATGTCTGGAGCACGGCGCTTTTAGAAAGAGTAAGAGACCAGAGGACTATATGGAAGTCAATAAGAAATAGGCGTGATAGGTTAGTAGCACACCTTCTCAGGCATGAAGGTCTAGTCATAGACATATTAGAGACAGAAACGGATGTTAGGAGGTGCAGAGGTAGACCTAGATTAAATTACTGTTCGCAAATAGTTAAGGATGTGGGTTGCTCTAGCTTTAGGGATATGCGAAGATAAGCTTAGTATAGGAAAGAGTGGAAGTGCGTGTCCAACCAGTCTTAGGACTGACGATCGTATGATGATGATGATGTGTAATTTTAAATTAGTATGATTTGTAAATTTAGACGTCTAGGGACTGACGCATATAGCTACGGACTGATGAAAATTATGCTGACATACTGTAATATAAGATTTTTTAAGGCAATAATGTAATAAAATAAGACTCCTACACAGGCATAGCTTCACTTTTATTAGGAACGTATTTTAGACAGTATCATTATTAACATTAACGATACCCTTTGCTCTATGAAGTAATAATTAACAAAAAAGGCTCCTTGATTATAAAATAATCAATCTCAATCGATCAATCAAGCGAGGGACTGACGGGTTAGGGACTGACGATTCAGAAGAAAACCTACGAATATTCTGTTCGGTTGTATATACCACAATACCTAACGTGATTTAATGAACAGGGCTTACAAAACAATACTAAATCGTTGACAGTTAAAAATAATGTGTACTATTCAATATAAAAATTGCTTACCGAGGGACTGACAAAGTCACTGGAACGAGGCGTGCTAGCACATTTTACGCCGCGGTTGCACTGAATTACAAAATGGCCGACACAAGGCAAGCGGCCATTGGAGATAACAATGTCTATACTATAATATGAACTGATTCTCATTCCCTCATTTACGATAAAAACTGCATAATTTCAAAATTCCTAAGCGGCTAGGGCCTGATGGTTAAAGTTGCGGACAGCAGAAAGTTTAACTTACATAAATGTAATGTTTTTTCGAAATATTGTTATTTTATTGATGTTATTAGGAAAATAGTCATATTTTTAAATGTCTTGAATAAAATAAAAGTGTATAAAAGGAATGCTTTTTCAGATATTAGTGGACAAATACAAAATTTTGGTAGGCGGACACGGCTAGGGCCTGATATTTGTGGTAGTTAAAAATGTTTTCCAAAGTATAATTCTAAATTATTTCAAACATTTTGAGGGCAATAAATAAAATACATAT